GAGACGGGTATGCCTTTTTCAGCACTTTGATATGTTAATTCTCAAGCATACCCACATTCATTCATTCATTCATTATTTGGGGGGTGGGGGGTGAAGTACCAAATTGAGGTTGCCAAGGAAACAAGATTAGGTGCCCAGGTCACAAGACGCAAGAGCACATGGTTTTGCTGGGCTAATTAAAAGTCAACATTAGTCCAGATTGTGTCCATTCTACAAAATTCATTCCTACACTATGCCATATGTATTTATACCATGTGTAGCTATATGCTGATTTTAACAGATACTAATGAAATAATTAAGGTCATATACTTTTCAAACTTCCATGCATTTTGCCAGTCAAAAAATATTTATTAAACATTTAATCTATACTACACATTATTCTAGATTCTGAAGATACAAAAATGACTAGAACTAGCAAAAATTCCTAGACCCACTATAGTAAAGGAGCAAAGATGTTGCGTATAGCTCCAAGGGTGTTAAATGGGACAGAAAAGCACAGGCAGCTTTTAGTGTGGTGTTGGTTGATAGGGTAAACATCACTGTGAAGGTGACGTTGGAGTTCAAACATGGAGAAGATGAGGGGCTAAGACAAAGAATTGAGCACGCAGGAGGTGGTTAGGGGGACAAAGAGAACCATAGAGGAACTCTCTGGAAGTAACAATGTGCTTGACCATTTCCAAGAAAAATCAGGGACGCTGAAGTGGCAAGGACAGAGGGAAAACAGTGGGGACTGTCACAGAGAAGCCACACGGGACAGATGAAGGGGTCACTGAACGATGTCTCCCTCTTCTGACCTCCGAGGGCATTGCACAACATAGGTGCACTTACATACATGCAGGCAATACACCGATACACACAAAATAAAAATAATAAATAAAAGAAGAAAAAAAAAAGGCAGAGAAGGGTTAAGGAAGAGACCTGAGACTGGCCACCACCCACACCCAAACACAGTGTGCTTGCATACCTGCACACACCCATGCACCACCACTCCATACAAATACAAACATAAATAAATAATAAACAAAATGCCATCTGAGAAATAGAATTAAAAATCAGTGCATAATCTATACCCAAGATTTACCTGACATTACACTATATAAAGTACATATGCACTCTTTAAATCCCAGTTACTCTCCATCAGGGTCTTCCTATCCTGCTGCTGTATGGACTACACTGAATTTGATGTTTTAATAGTAAGAGAATGTATGTGGGGGTTGGAGATGTGGCTCAGAGGTTAAGAACACTGGTTCTTCTTGCAGAAGACCCAGGTTCAAATCCCAGCACCCACATGGCAGCTAAAAACTGTCTGTAACTCTAGTTCCAGGGGACCCGTCAGCCTCTTCTGTCCTCCACGGGCATTGCAAGACACAGGTGCACTTACTTACATGCAGGCATAACACTCATACACATAAAATTAAAATAATAAATGAAATATCTTTTTTAAAAAGAGACTGTATGTGTAGTCTAGGGCTGTCGTAACAGAATACCACAGGCTGACTGGTGTAAGCAACAGAAATTTCTTTTGTCACAGTTCAGGGACCTGGAAGTCTGTGATGGTTAATTGTCGTCATACTCATGGTTGGTTTAAAAGCACCTGGGTGTGTCTGTGGGTGCCTTTCCAATAAAGACTAACTGAAGAAGATCCACTTGAATGTGGGCAGTGAGGAGATCCTAGACTAAATAATAAGGGGAAAGGAGAAAGTTAGCTAAGTGCCAGCATCCCCATCTCTTTGTTCTCTGGCTCATCCAGATGTGATCAAACAGCCTCACCCTCATGCAGCTGCAGTCATGAGCTGCTCCCGCTGCCATGCCTTCCCCTTCATGATGGACTGTTACCCTGAAACCATGAGTCCGAATAAATCCTTTCTCCCATAAGTTGCCTCTTATCACAACACGGCAATGAGAAAAGTAGCTAGATACAAAGTCCGAGAAGAAGAGATCACAGCCAATAGAGTTGTCTTCCCTGGAGGCTTCTGTCCTGGTCTTGCAGATGAGCACTCGCAACTGTGCCCTCATATGGTCTTTTCATAGTGTGCATGCATTCTTGGTGTTCCCTTGTATGCCTGAATTTTCTCTTATAAGGATAACAGTCAGACTAAAGCAGAGATCAAATGGTCTAATACTGACTGAATCACTTACACAAAGTCTCCAACAGGCAATCCAGTCATGTCCTGTGGTACGTGTGGTTAGGGTCTCAGCACGTGCCTTTTAAAGGCACACAACTCATCCTATGGCAAACACAGTCATCAGTCAAAGTGTCCCAGCATGTTACTGTGTTCATTATCACAGGCATTCGCCTCCTCTGCCTGTGCATGAGAAACATGGGTTGTTTGAATCACCTGAAGGTGTGTAGCTAAGCTGACCATGCATGTCAGAAGAGGAGACAGAGCATAAAAGGGGATCCATTTTAACCAAGATTTCTAGACTTCGGCTCTAACATACAGAAAGGAATAGTCCTCCTAACGCTTCCAATTGAAGGCCTGGCTACCAAGCCTGACGGCCTGAGTTCAGTCCCCAGAACCTACATGGTGGAAGGAGAGAGCCTACGCTCATTCTCTGACCTCCACACACACAACGTGGAATGCGTCCAGCAAACACACACATTAAATAAATATAATAGTGGTAAAATAAACTAAAAAACAGTAAAAAGTAACCATTGAGATTTAGTTCAATGTGCAGTTTTTAGCCCAAAAAATACCTCAAATAATATCAACACAATTTTTTTAAGAGAGGGTCTCCCGGTAACCCCAGCTGGCCTGGAACTTGCTATGTAGACCAGGCTGGCCTCGATCTCACAGAGATCAGTTTGCCTTTGCTTCCTGAGTGCTGGGATTAAAAGCATGCACCATCACACCCAGCAATATAGGGAATTATTAATGATATATTTTATCAGCAGATGAGGGGAGAGAGAAAATGCTCTTGTGAAAAGTTGAATCCAGAGATTAGGAGTTGGGCAACATTCCTATTGGATTCCTATTGGGTGTCTTCCTCAATCACTCTCCATCTTCTTATTTTGTGAGACAAGAACTCATTCAACCAGGAACTTGCTGACTCAGATAGACTGGCTGCTCAGTGAGCTGTAGGGCTTTGCCTGCCTTTGCCTCCCTAGTGCTGTAACTACAGACCAGACTACCATGATTGACTTTTTATGTAGGTGATCTGGACTCAGGACTCCATGCTTATGTGGCAAGGACTTCACTAACTTATCTCCCCCTTATTTTTTACTTACTTATATTTGTTAAGTTGGTTTTTGAGACAAGTTCTCATGTAGCCCAGACTGATCTCAAACTCTCTATGTATCTGAGACTGGCCTTGAACTTCTTATCTCCCTGCTTCTATCCCATAAGTGTTGGGATTACAGATGTGTGCCACTGCGAATGGCTTTGTACTGTGTGCTTTAAAACAAAGATAAAACCTGGTGTTATCCAGTACTGCCCCAATCACCTCACACTAGCTTCCAAAGATCCATTTCTAAGCTAGTGGGAATCATTGCAACACTTATATCTGATTCATAATCTCCCCGGAAGTGACATATGAAGGATGTGGACGCAGATACTGACCTCTGAAACTCTGAGTTTCATCTGTTTCTTTTCTTCAGAAGAGAAGTGAGAGAGTCCCAAGCCTCGGGGAGTAGATAATACATGCGATGAAAAGGGAATCATTTCTCGATTTCAGTTGTCCAAAGCTGATCCATCACTTCTTTCCTTTAGCCTCTTGCCGAAGCATGTCACATTACCATTGGAAAGAAATGCGAAATATGCCTCTTTCTAGTTGGACTCAAGTTTAGGGCACCTGCAATAAATTCTATTGAGGATGATTTTTAAATACTTCTTGTTTCTTCACAGGAACATGACGATGATGTCATTCTAGAAACAAAGTCCAAACCTGCCCACAAAAGACCTGAAAGGGGTCAACTAGTGTACAGAACATTCAAACACTGAAAATCCAGGGTCTGGGGACCAGTCTTGGGAAAGTAGGACAGAAAGGATAAAGAAGTTCAACTAAAAACAATGGAAGAGCCACAGCAGAGACCTAGCCATCTGAGAGGCAGTGTAGTGGGAAAGCACATGCCTGGCCCACCTGGAGGGAGAAGATTCACTGTGCCAAGGCAGGCGATGTCAAGGGCATCTGGTAGCAGGTAACAAGGACCTGAACTTCAGACCTGGAGTTCAGGCTCAGCTCCTTACATACTAGAGGATCTAAAGACACCATCCACAGGGTGGAATGAAAGAGATTCAGGAATGGAGATGTGATGGCTGAGCACTTAGCAGAATAGAGGACCAGGAAGGGCTTGGTCTCAAGTCAACTAAACCAGTGACTCAGTTACCAGAAATGAACAAGAAGCTAATTCAGAATGGCTTCATTGACTAACAGATTAATCTTTATTGATCAAGACAAAACATCTAAAATAAAAAAATGTATCTCCTACATGTCATCAAGCATCTAGTTCACTTCCCTCATCCTTTTCTTTTTTTAAAAAAAAAATCACGTTTTCTGTTTAGAGTTATCACTCTTAATTTCACTACAATTTCAAGCATCCTTTCTTCTGACTCAAGAGGAGAACCCAGGGAAAGGAAAACAGGTTGTTGGCTGAGTCCCAATCCAAATCATGTCGTTAAGAACGGGAGGCCCTTTTATATTTTCTCCCAGTCTTTTCTTTAAAGTACAGATTTCTGTGTCTCATCCAAAACCATTGTGTATTGTCAGGACGGTGCCAACACCCGACAGATGACACAAAACATATTAATAGATTAGGGTTATAGTGCTGCAGTGAAAAGAGAAGTGCTCCAAAAAGAGAAGCAGAAAAGTCGAGGAAAGACCCAAAGCTTCTGCCTTCAGAGTTAGATGACTATCTTTGTGGACGGACACATTTCAAAAGCAATTATAAAATAGAGACTTTTTAGCTGCTTACCTATGGGCTTTCCAGATGTTTCAAGTGCTTTTCAGTAAAAGAAGAAAGAATAAGTTAATACCATTTTTAAAACTTGCTCTTTCCTCAGAACCAGCTCCTCCAAAGTCACTCTTTGCTGTGAACAAAACCCAGACTTCGGTGACCCTGCTGTGGGTTGAAGAAGGTGTCGCTGATTTCTTCGAAGTCTTCTGTCAACAGTTTGGCTCTAGTCGTGATGCCAAACCCCAGGTACTGTTCGCCTTGACTTTCCGAGTTAAATTTGATTAAGGCTAACTGAGTAAAGTAAAAACCTTCTATTTCTTGGGACTACAGAATATGACAATTGTTTGTCTGTTCTTTTATGTGTCCATGATAGAAACTGACATTGTGTGTGGAATATGACTTTCATGTGAAAAGTTTTCTTTTTATTCGTTTTATTTGTCCTCAATCCTTAGTCACTCCAGGACATGAAAAGATTGGTCGACCCTGCCATATGAAACACAATCTAACAATTATGAACCAGTTGCCCATTTTTTGAAAGGCACCTTAGAGGACACAAACGGTAAAACCAACACTTGCCTTCAAACATTTTTAGATCCTTTTGACTATTATAGAACGTCGAGAAATAAGTAAAATTTAAGTACCTCAAGAAAGATTCATATTGCTGAGAGACTTTAAAAGATAAAAATTTGAGATATGGTTATTGCTGAAGAAATGATTTTAAAAAGCTTATCATTCTTCAGGTCATGATGAATGAAAGAAATAGACTTTCAGCTCTGGGGGTAGCAAAGGCACACGGAAAAAAAACATACTTTACAGGCAGAGGGAGAAGGAAATAGACAGGTTAGTGGGGGAGTTCATGGACTGCAGGGTGTAGAGTAAGCCTCTAAGCGTGAATGATTGATGCTCTTTAATAATGAAGTCCATGGGTCGGGAGGGCGGAGAAGAATTGCAGTGAGAACAAATCTTTTCAGGCTGAGATAATTTGCTTTGATTCCTCTCCTTCTTTGACATTCTTCCCTACAAATTTATCTCTTTTGATCTGTGATGAGTAGCTGTTTCTGTCCAAAGAATCTTTGTGGAAAACAACTCCTCTGCCAGTAATGGATTTTCTTCTCTGTAGCTATGGCAGTGTCTTCCATGAGAGGCACAGTGGCTAGTCAACTGCCAACTATAACTGAGTTGTGTTAGGGAAAGTCGTTCTCTCCTTACACTCATTCTTTTCTGGAACATGGAGATGGATAGGATGGGAAATCCGTCCTGTTAGCCGCCATCTTGTTAGGTACAGGTGTCTTAGGGTCTTCTTTTGAAAAGAGTGTTATGCTAGCTGTCTTTTTACATTGTATAGTGTATACATCACTGGTCTGGCCATGGATCTACCAAAGTAGCAATTAGTTCTTCTTAAAAAAAACTAATACTATTTCTGAGCACCCCCTGTCACCATGCTTATGGTGGACATGGTAAAATCAGAAAAGGTGGGCAAATGGGAAGGTTCCTTAAATTTTTATTATTTATTTATTATTCATTTATTTTTTTATGAGTGTTTCACCTGCATGTATGTAATTACACCCATGTGAGCAATGCCTATGGAGGCCAGAAGAGGGTGTCAGGTCCCCCTAAAACTGGAACTGGTGTTATGGATGGTTGTTTGCAACCATGTGAGTGCTGAGAACTAAACCCAGGTCCTCTGCAAGAGCACCCAGTGTTCTTAACCACTGAGCCATCTCTCCAGCCCCATGGGTAGGGTTCTTAAGTTTAAAGAAACAGTATAAATCAAAATGAAGAAGGCCAATATCCCCCAAAAAAATACTTTATAGAAAAACAAGGACAAAAAAAATCTTCAACATATGAAAAATTTGATCAACTTCACACATGATTAAAAACTACAAAATAAAAATACTAGGTACAATTTTCATTGGTAATATTGGAAAAACCTACATACAAATATACTGTGATAGAAAAACAATGTGGGAAAACAGGTATTGCCACATACCAGCAGCAGGCAGACAAGCTAGAAAATGTCTATGGAAGACTATTTTTCAATACTTTTAGCAGTAAGAAGATATACTTTTTGGCCCAGTAACTAAAATTATGGGAGGCCACCCTGCAATGTGACTCAGTTCTAACCCGCGGAAACTGCCACTAAGTACCTGGATTGGGGAGTGGGGATGTGGATGAGGCAAGCAACAAGAGAAATGGAGACAAGACAGGGCTCTGATCAAGTCTCGTTTATTGAAGCACAAACATGAGTTTAAATAGAGAATGAGAACAAAGAAGTGAAGAATGAGTAATCATATCAATCAGAACACAGGGGCCTGATGTACTTTAAGGGAGGAATCTACTGACTAACGGAAAACAAGGCTATTTACTGGAAAAGAGAACAAGGCCGTGGGCCAAGGTTGCGGGCCCCGGCTGCAAGCCAAGGTTTTGGGCCAAGGCTGTTTGGCCCCGGCTGTGAGCCAAGGTTGTGGCCTGAATGGAGAGGTCACCAAACTCAGGTCTGCCAGCAGCCCCGAGATATGGCTGAGCCTCAGGCTCCCAACATAAAATGTTAACTAGCAGCGTATGAGTGTTTATGTATGTTCCCTCACATGGTTTGTGTGTTGGGGGGGGGGTTGTTCTGTTTTTTGACAGGGTCTCCCTAGTCCCAGCCTGCCTGGAACTCATTATGTAGACCAGGCTAGCCTGGATCTCACAGAGATCCACCTGTCTCTGCCTCTTGAGGGCTGAGATTAAAGACAAGTGCCACCACACCCAGAATTCACATGGGTGTATGTGTGTGTGTGTGTGTGTGTGTGTGTGCACATCTATACACACTGTCAGTTTCTTTTCCTGCTGCTGTAATAAAATACCCTAAGGCAAGAAACTTAAGAGAGACAGAGCTTATGCTGGCTCGCATTTCCAGGGTCCAGTCCATCATGGTAAAGTCCTGACAGAAGGGCTGAGGAAGCTGATCACCTGTATCTGCAGGCAGGAAGCAGAGAGTAATGAATGTTCTGCTACTGCTCAGTCACTTTCCTCCTCTTCATGCAGCCCAGGATTCAAGCCCAGAGAATGATGGCAGTCCTCCTTTAGGGTGGGTCTTTTCATTTAATTAACCTAACCAAGGTAACCTCTCATGGGCATGCCCAGAGGTTAAACCAGTGTAAATAATTCTTTGTCTCCCAAGTGATTCCCAATCATGTCAAGTTGACAATCAGTATTAACCATCTCACATACATAAATATATTAAGGTGACTGTGAATAGATACATATGTTCCCATGTTTTTGAAATGACATTTAAGCCATCAGTAGGAAGCTGGTGAAGGTTGAACTTTCAGTGGATTTATATGCATCCCTTAAAAAGGATACAATAGCTTAAGGGGCTGGACAGATTGCTCAGTGGTTAAGAGCATGGGCTGTTCCTGCAGAGAACCAGAGGTTGGTTCCCAGCTCCCACATGGCAGCTAACAACCGTCCGTAACTCCAGGCCCAGGGGAATCCAACACTTTCTTCTGACCTTGGCGGGCACTGAATGACACATATGCACTTACACACATGTAGGCAATATACTCATACACTAAAATAAAATTAATAAATTATATTTTTTAAAAGGATATGTGCTGGAGAGATGACTCCATGGTTAAGAACACTGACTATTCTTACAGAAGACCTAGGTTTGAATCCCAGCACTCACATGGCAGCTAACAACTGTCCATAACTCCAGTTCCAGGGGATCTGGCAGCCTCTTCTGTCTTCCACGGGCATTGCATGACATGGGTGCACTTACCTACATGCAGGCATAACACTCATACACATAAAAATAGTAATAATAATTTTTTTAAAAAGGATATGACAGTTTAACCTGAATTTGTATAGAGAAACCGCCAAAATATATTGATAACTCAGGTCAAATTATGCAATGCAGTGTATAAAGTATATCACTATTAATGATTCTTAATCCTGTGTTACATGTTTATGCATCCTTAAAATATGTATAAGAAGAAAACCATCCAGCAATAATGGCTGTTTCCATGGGAGTGAATGGGGTGGGTGGGGTTGGAAAAAGCAGGAAAGGTTTTTCACTATTAACCTTTTCCATTTTGTAACTGTTTTTACTTTATATATGACCTCCGTGGTTTGGAAAAATAAGTTTAAAAATGAAATATATGATGATAACATGAAGCATACTTCATTTTCTGCGCCAGGAACCAATAGCCATTGCTTCTCACGTGGTGACCATTTCCAGCCTGCTCCCCGCTACGGCCTACAACTGCAGTGTCACCACCTTCAGCCACGACAGCCCCAGTGTCCCCACATTCATCGCTGTCTCCACATTGGGTAACTGTACACATTGGGGGAATCCGCTCTTTGGAAGTTATTTCTTTCTGTATTTTCTTTAGTGTTTATTTTAAAATATATACAATCTATCTTTTTTTAATGGAATTAATGTTCCATTGGAGCCATCCCAAGCTAGGGGTCCAGGGAGCTCATGACTCCAATCCCAAAGTGCACTTGGGGAGACTATGATCTAAGGAAAGATGAGTACTGCCTTGGAGTCTTTTATATAATGTAATATATAAATAGAGAATAATAATATATGCAGTTTAAGCTGTTTTGAAAGTTAGAAGTAAAGATACAGAAAGCCCTGTGGATGCTGCCCAAATGCTAGAGGGATCACCAAGATCACCACCTTTATCCTCACCTTCTGCAGTGGGTAGGCACAGTCCCCTGATCAAATTGCTTTTATCTGTGTTAATGCTGGTCCTCAGCTGGCACTGATCAAATATTTACAACGTGGTTACTGAATCCCATCTAATCTGGCAGAAAGTGTAGATGGGAAAATCAGAAATGAATGCAAGGTCTGGGATAAAAAATGCTGGCCTCTCCATTCTTCTTCTGGGCTGTAGTCTACATGTTACTCCTATAGAACTCTGCAGACCTTCTGTGAAGACTGTTAAAAAAAACCACCTCCTCATAGCACACTGTCCCTTTAATGGGTTTGTTTTTGTGTGTGTGACACTAGCCCTGCCTCTAGCTGCAGTATTTAGTGATGAGTGGGGTGGGATTTTGCTTTGTTTTGCTTTTAGTCTTCGGTCTATAGTTTTTTTTTGTTTTTGTTTTTGTTTTTAGAAGAAAAGACAAATTGGACCCAGAGAGTATTTCAATGGTGTCTCATCTCTATATCCTGAGACATATTTTTTTTTCCTGCTTGTGTGACACTAGCCCTGCCTCTAGCTGCAGTATTTAGTGATGAGTGGGGTGGGATTTTGCTTTGTTTTGCTTTTAGTCTTCGGTCTATAGTTTTTTTTTGTTTTTGTTTTTGTTTTTAGAAGAAAAGACAAATTGGACCCAGAGAGTATTTCAATGGTGTCTCATCTCTATATCCTGAGACATATTTTTTTTTCCTGCTTTTTGGGAGGATTTTTTTTTTTGTTTTTTGTTTTTTTTTTTACAAAATTGGACCCAGAAAGTATTTCAATGGTGTCTCATCTCTATATCCTGAGACATACTTTTTTTTCCTGCTATTTGGGAGGAGGAATTTTTGTTTGGTTCAGTTTTGGGGTTTCACTGGGTCTTGTTTGTTTATTTGTTTTATAGCTTAGGCCTCAAACTCACTCTCTAGCCTAGACTGACCTTGAACTCCTAATCCTTCTATCACAGCCTTCCAAGTGCTAGGATTGCAGGCATGTGCCACCACACCCATCACATCTGTGAATTTCTGATCAGTGCAAGAAGAGTATGAGTCTTCTCTGGCTCACCGTGAAGTTATATAAAGACACGCAACACGTGTCCCTGCCTTCAGCATCCTGCTCATGTGTGAAGTTTGACAAGCTGAAAGCGAGCAGCCCTAGTTTTTGCTCCCTGGTCTGTGCCGATGGGAAACCTCAGAGCATATGGCTTCTGATGACCAGAATGACCACTTCTGGTAACATGTAAAGTACCACCATAGACGGCAGCTCACTAATGCATCTTTCAGATACGTAATTAGCTGTGAACAAAGTATTCAGTTGTTTCCTGACTTGAAAGTCATAGGCATAAAATAAAAACCTGTCACCTTCAAAGCTTTTGAAAATGTTAAGTAATGATAATGCATGGTAATGCCTTCTAGATCTTTAATTTTCAAATAGACGTAAACCTGGCACCAAGATTTTTCACATTTATAGCATTTCTATAAGAGCATCCTGCATGCCACAGGTCTTTGCAACAGACTGAGTTCCTCCAGGTACCTAAGTACCATCTGTCAGCCTACAGAGTTAAACATGAAGACAAAGTGATGGTTGGCTGCGAGAAACACGGTTGTCATTATCATCGCCAGTATAAATTCAGCGCTTTTCAGAATGATGTGCAACCTATAGCATGTGGTATAGTTCCTGTGTTGAATAACCTAGGGCTATGTGTGCTATCTCTCTTTAGTTACAGAGATGAACCCTAACGTGGTGGTGATCTCAGTGCTGGCCATCCTTAGCACCCTTCTAATTGGGCTGCTGCTAGTGACATTGGTCACTTTGAGGAAAAAGCACCTACAGATGGCTCGGTAAGTAGAATGTTATTGATCTTCATCCTGCATCCTAAAATGCTTTAATTGGGGCCTGAGAGATGGCTCAGCAGTTGGGAGCACCGGCTGCTCTTGCAGAGGACCCAGGCTCTATTCCAAGCATCCACATGACAGTTAGCAACCTTCCATAACTTCAGTTCTAGGGGATTCAGCACCCTCTTCCAACTTCTGGGACCTTGCATAGCACAGGTACTTACATATATGAAGGCAATACACTCATACACATAAAATAAAAATAATAAAAATGATTTTAAATACTTTTAATTTTACTAGAGTTTTGTATACCTAAGTTATATAATGGTACATTTGACTTCAGCTTTTAATGCCTGCTTTTTTTTATTTAATATTATTTTAGAAAGCACTGTTACTAAAATGGTAAAATAAAGTACAACATACTCACACAGAGCCAGATCTCTAGCTGTCAGTCCTGACCTTCTGGAAAGCACATATATACAGTATATTCAGAAACATTTAGACTAAAATAATCTGTTTCATACAATTAATGAAAAAAAGTAATAAGAATCAAAATCATTTTTCTCCTTAGTTCTATCAGAAAAAACATTCATAGACTTTACAATTAAGTTCACTAGAGGTGACCATTAGCTTTACTGTCAATCAAAGTTGCAGCCAGTTTTTCTTACAGTTAGAAAAGCCTCTCTCTCTCTCTCTCTCTCTCTCTCTCTCTCTCCGTGTGTGTGTGTGTGTGTGTGGGTGTGTGTGTGTGTGGGTGTATGTTGCTAGAGATGGAACTCGGGGCCTTGTGTATGCTAGACAAGCACACCACCACTGGGCTGTCTCCCAAGTCCTTTTCTTGAGATGGAACCCAGGGTCTTATACATACTAGGCAAGCACTCTACCCCTGGGATATACCCCAAGACCTTTTCTTTACATGAAACCCAGGGGCCTTGTTGTGCTAGGCAAGCACTCTACCACTGGGCTATACCCCAAATCCTTTTCTTTAGATCACCAACACATTGCTTATCAGAACTTGTTCTCAACTACTCTCTTTTATCCTCACATTGCCAGAACAATCATCAATTCCCTTAAGAAACTGTGGTTACTTGATAACTATTGCATTTGAGAAATTTGGTTCAAATATATATTTGCACACTGTTGGCCTGCTGAATTATAAATCAGCATATTTTCCTTCCTCAGAGTTCTATCAATTGCATATTTATAAGTAAATGTATCCATCTCGTCATAATTTAAACAATGTTTTATATGGAATATTAAAGATAAATCAGCGATGGTGGCACAAGCCTTTAATCTCAGCACTCAAAAGGCAGAGGTAGACAGATCTCTGCATTCAAGGCTAGCCTGGTTTGCATAGCAAGTTCCAGACCAGTGGATCTCTGTTTCATTTTTTTTTAAATTCAAACATCAAAACTATCTAGTAAGAGTTTAGACCCAAGCTGGAGACAGTACAGGGATAGACTGATTTATTTTTTCTTTTGGTATTTTTGAGACAGGGTCTCCCTGTAGCCTAAGCTGTCCTGGAACTCACTATGTAGATCAGGCTGGCCTTGAACTCACAGAGATCCACCTGCCTCTGCCTCCCAAGTGCTGGGGCTACAGGCATGCGTCACCACGCCCAGCTGGATAGACTGATTTTAAGGTGTAAACTGACCCTGATTATTAAGCTATGAATGGAATGCCATGAAAACAGAAAACACAGGTCATTCTCAGTATAACAACCAACTCAGTGAGATTGACATTGCAGTGACTCTTAGGATGATAATGTGGGGGTGCTGCCATGTGGATACAGATCTGAACTACGGCATCATCATTCTCCAAGCAAAGCTCTGACTGTGAGAGTCCCGCCCCCCCACACCATCTCCAAAGCTTTCCTCCTTACTCATTTGCTTAACAAATAATTGATACCTGTTGTGTGTCAACTGCTCTGGCTGTATCTTATTGACACTGACAAAATGTGATAAGGTTTGCATTGTCCTAGAGGAGACAGGCAGAACACACTGAAGATGAACACAAGTTCTCAGCAGGCTAGATGGTCATGGGAGAAGGGCTGTGTGATTAGCAGGGCCAGCATGTGGAGAGAAGCTTTGAAGAAGGTGTCGCTGAGTGACATGTTAAAGCAAAGACTTGGTAAGCATGGAGGAGTTATGTGTTATCACTGGGAACAAAGTGAACAATATAAAGAACAGCCCGTGCAAAGGCCCTGGGGGAGACACAGGTAGTGTATTCAAAGGCTATCAGAGAGTGTGATTAAAGTAGAGGAAGGGAAGAGGGACAGGCGATGTCAGCCCATAGTGGGCTGCGTAAACCACTGCAGGGCCCCTGGCTTTTACTCTGAGTCAAATGGGCAGTGACTGCATTGTTTGAAGCAGAAGGTTAATGATGTTCGATGCCAGCTTTAATACTTCCATTTTGACTTTCAAGTAGAAGGCAAGCTGTAAAAGGCACAGGCGTGTCAGCTGGAGGAGCTGTGAGGTATGTGAGGTAACGTAGGCAAGGCAGTAGCAGTTCAGTGCCCAGTGGTGGTGATGAAGGTGGGGTGGAACAAGCAGACACTGATGTGTTCTGAAAGCACAGGGAATGGGATCTGCCAACAAATTGAATATACTAAGGGCATGAATAAAGGAACCAGGATAACTACAAGGCTGGGCCCATAGCAACAGAAAGGATGAGTTGCCATCGACAGAGAAAGGACTGCAGGTGTGTACATACGTGTCAGAGTCGGGGAACATCCAGACTTCAGCTATAGGAATGCTGCATTTGAGATGAACTGCAAACCCAGGTGTGGAGGAGTCAGCTGACCGAGAAGGCCCATCATTCAGCTCACAAGTCTTGCCTGAAGATGGAAATCTGAGATTCATTGCGTATATGTGCTGTTAAAGCCAAAGGCGAGAGGAAAATAAGAGAATGACCATAGATAAGAGAAAGGGGCCCTGGACAAAACCAGGAAACAATTCAGTGTTAACATTTCCAGGAAGGGGGGCCAGAAAGATGGCTCATTGGGTAAGAGTGCTTGATGCCCACATATGAGGACCTGAGTTCAAATCTCCAGTAACCATGTAAAAAGTCAAGTGTAGATGTGAGCCCCTAAGCCTAGTTCTGTGGAGAGCAGAGAGAAGAGGTCTGCTTGGGCTTTCTGAGCCAGTCCAGGTTCACTGAGAGACTCTGTCTCAAGAGAATAAAGCAAAAAGTAACAGAACAGGAAATGCAATTTTCTCTTCTGGCCTCAGCCCATGTACTCATATGTATGTATGACACAAAGAGAGAGAGATAGAGAAAGGGGGAGAGAGAGGAAAAAGAGAGAGAAAGGGGAGAGAGAAAGGGGGAAGAGAGAGAGAGAAAGAGAGAGAGAAAGAGAGAGAGAGAGAGATTTCCAGGAAGGAAAGAAAATAGCAACAAAAGGTTGGCACAAACTCATCAATGGAGAAGAAGAAAAACTAAGAGCTTGGTAGTCTGGAAGCCAGGGAAAGATCATGTCCCTAGAAGAGGTGATGATGACCCTGCCTTGGGGATAATTAGGAGAAATTCTGTCCTAGTAGTGTAGCGTAACAGTCAGCTCCTAGGACACATGTAATAAATAGTCACGCACAACAGTGGAGCAGAGGCACAGGAGGGACAATGCGAGTATGGATTTGTTGTACGGTCATCATCCCCTTTTGGCAAAGATTGTGAGCTGCCTCTTTGTGGACTCAAAGAATTTGGTTTATGACTTGGCAACGGGATGTTTCTTTGTATTTTGCATTGTATGCAAAAGAGAATCATTAGGAACCTCCACTATCTTCATAGTTTTTAAATACGATGCTGTCATGATAAACTGGTCAAGGCTCTTTTTACATTGCTCTATCAAGCAGTAACTGATTTTGTGGCTCTTTCAAACAGGGAGTGTGGAGCAGGCACGTTTGTCAATTTTGCATCCTTGGAGAGGGAAGGGAAACTTCCCTACAATTGGTGAGTATTATTTGGGGGGCAAATCCCCAGCTGGCTTAGCCTGGCTGTACATGACTCAAACTTGATTTTATTGTCTTTAGGGCATACATGGTTTTTTTTCAGATCAGCCTTTCATCATTTCTGTAGATGCTCAATGATAGATCTTCAGGGGCTATCACAGTTTCTTTAAACTCCATACAATTCTAAAGCAGAAAACATGCCCTAGCCTGCTCTATGTGACTGTACTAAATCAAGGATGAACAATGTCACGCCAAGCACATGGTGTTCTGACAGTGAGACTCCAGGGCAGGAGCCAGGTTGAGCAAGTAGCAGCAAGAGACCTGAGAGCAGCCTGCAGAGAAGCTGCCGGGTGTGCCACATTCACGTGCCTGGTAATGGGAGCCAACACTTCTGTTCAAAATTAAGTAAAATTGTACAGCCCAGAGCTCTCACCTATCCATAGACTCATAAATATCAAAGACAGAAATGTACCCTCAAATCCACATCCTCATTGTTTACAACTGAGTATGAAGGACGTAAGAGGAGAAGATACTTGGGGAATTAGAAAAACCTTGCCAAGAGATTAATAAGGTTGATATTATACTGAACTGTGGTATATAAGAAACAGCAATCCTGATCCAGGTGTGGTGGCACATGCTTTTGATCCCAGCACTCCAGAGGCAGAGGCCAGTGGAGCTCTGTGAGACTGAGGATAGCCTGGTCTACACAGCAAGTTCTAGGCCAGCTGGGAAACCCTGTCTCAAAAAAGAAAGAGAAGAAATAACAATCTTTTCTAGCTTAGCATTCAATTCATTCAATACCCAACAAAACCAATAATTAAGTAAACATTTACCATGAAACCAGCACACCTTGCATCATGTAACTTGCAAGCATTCATGTGCCATATTTAGATGAATCCATTTCATATTACTGCTTTACAAGTGAATTATTTCCATCATTCAACCCTTCAAAGTGGTTACTGTTAAAAGAAACAGATCTAAGAGATGAGAAATTTCACCCTACACAATTAGTGAGGGAACAAATCCTACCTCTCAGAGTGCAGATGGTGGCCCCTCTGGGTAAAAAGCTGGTTGAAACGAGAGGTTTTTTTATAAGACTACTTTGTGTTATTTTAAATTTTTGACAATGAATGACTTTTACTACTAAAATACGATCAATCCAGTTATGGAGAAAGAGAATTTATAAACCCTTGATGGTGACAGTTTCAGAAACAGGAGTAAGCTTGTTCGAATATGTTAGGACTCTTCTCAGAATTGAAAGATTGACACACTGACACCTGTGTCCTGCCTTAAAAAAACACAATCCCGAGAGTGGTGGCAGGAGACTTATCTACACACTGATCTAATGGTACCTGTCACTCTAGGGAGCTATGCATTAGCTAACGTTATGGCCAGTCACGATTTGTAAAATTTATAGGACACCAGTTTGAGGAAAAGTAAAACTAAAAAAGAAGAATTCAGGATTTTTCTATAAAAAGGACTTCACTTCAGGACATTTCTATAAAATCGAGCACATTTTCCTGAAGCTCTTGACAAATTTGGTTGCACCAGCAGCAGCATTGTGTTCTGAGGGATGAGAACAGGTATCTCAGCGGGGGTTTGTTCTAAGTAAGTGAAAAGGTAACAGCTTTTCTTCTCCTGGTTCTGAGACTGACTATAGACGCAGCCACAGAATATTTTTAAATCTACAGGAATAGATGTTCTGTCTCGCATGCAATTTGAATACCTGAAATTGGATGTATTTAAGTCAATTAGAATTTACATAGCCCTGTGTAGAGTTTTGTTCCCACTCTGATGAGCGGCAATTAGTTTATAAACCAGGCAATGGATGAGCTATTTTATTTCGAATGAATGATATTCGAATATCATATCTGATTGATGTTTTAAGTATGAGCTTTAGAAATTAGGTAGAGGTTTAAACTAAAATAATAAAGTCTCCTCAAGTGACTGAGCCTGATAAGAATATGACCCACAATCCTGGTCCTCCCCAGAATCCATATAAAGAAACCTGACCGTAATTGGTTGAGCTACCCCGTTTCTTAAATTAGGTGTAGGTGCTGGACGAGTGAGCTCTAAGAACATGGTGCAAGAGAGCTAAACGCCTCATTGATCTGAACATAAAATGCAGTCATCCAATAGCAGGCAGACAATCGGCACCGAACAAACTGAAAGAAATCGATGTGATTATGATGAGGCCTTGTGCGAATGAAAGCTGATCTGTCACTATTGTAGCAGTTAAGCCTTCACCCTTAAATCCCACAGAATGGAATAATACTTAACTGCAATTAAGGTGCCGTATGCGTTGACCTGGGTCAGTAGCTTGCTGCTCGCTGTTCGCAGCTGAATCACTAACCCTCGCCACTGTTTCATCTTTCATTTGTTGTCTGTTAATGCTCACAGGCGTAGGAGTGTGTTTGCTTTCTTAACCCTGCTGCCTTCATGTCTTTGGACTGATTATCTTTTGGCATTTTATATTAATCCTTGGTAAGTGATTTTATTTTCATTGTTTACCTAACACAAAGTCTTTAAAAGTTAGCTTTCAAAAAGCAAAGGCAATGGAAGGTTTCTTTCTTTCCGATTGTTTCCTGTGTTTGGCAGTACCTAAGATGACTAACTGTGTATTGAAATGCACCCCGACAGTGGACAGTGCCGAGCTACACGTGGGGTTCTCCTCGGTGTCCTCCTGTTCCTGGCGAACTTTCCTTTCTTCTGATCCTCAAGACTGTGCCTTCCTGGAGTTGATCTGTTGGCCTCCCATCTTTCCATTTTCTTTTCTATCTCCTCACACAAGAGACCACCTTTCCAAGGAAGGAGAAATACAGGAAGGCACAGAAATGAGAATCTGTTCACTTAATTTTGGAGCCTCTTTGCCCTCACAGAAACATTGACTCACTAATTCTTGAATATGTAACGTCCCAAAACCTCTTTATTGCAATTATCTAATACATACCACAGCCCTACAGAGTGTTATAATACTTTTAGTGATATGAAAATAGAGCTCTTGAGCTGGAGAGATGGCTCAGAAGTTAAGAGCACATATCACTCTTGCAAAGAACCCGAGTTCAGTTCCCACACCCACATGGCAGCACACAACCACCTGTAACTCCAGCCCTGGGAATCCAATGCCTCTGGCCTCTGTGGGTACCTGCATTCACTTACACACACACAAACACTCACACATGCACACGCATACACATACACAATTTAAAAAATAGAACCTTTAATGAAAAAGAGAACAGAATAGAGCTCTAGGGAGATTAACTGTCTTAATATCATGAGCTATCCCATCCAAACTTCAGTCTCTAAGCACAGAAATCTCATCTCTCCTCTGAAAAAACACCTTCCTTCAATTTGTCTTTACCTCTAATTTGTTGTTTTCTTAATATTTAAATCATGTTAATTATCAAGTTTTGAGATATATAACCTCCTTTGCTTTTCAATAATAATAATAATAAAATAACCTTGAATCTTAGATCTGGAAACATTTTTTTCTACTAATTCATGAAAGAAATAGCCACAGTTTGCTAAGAAACTGACCACCCAAAAGTCATTGTCCTTAAGTATTAACACATGCTTGCCTTGGTAGTAAATGTTACATAGACAGATCCAGAAATGCAGGTGACTGGAAGTGGACGCAGAGGGAAGCAATCAAACTATCTCATGGAGTAGAATAGTGGCCGTGCGCACACACACGCGTGTGTGTGTGTGCATGTGTGTGTGTGCATGTGTGTGTGTGTGTTGACCTGGAGAGTTGTGCAGAAGGCATTGGTGAAATGTCCTCCACTCCTCTGAGGACAGATGACATACAGATGGGATAATATAGAATTTCAAGCCACAACGGAGGAAACATAGACTGTTACTACTGAAATGGGCATGAGAGAGAGAGAGAGAGAGAGAGAGAGAGAGAGAGAGAGAGAGAGAGAGAGGTCAATTATGATCACTGCAGTTCTGAACATTGTTTTTATAGTTTTCAGGGTAGAACCTTAGCAGCAGCCCTGTGTTTTCTGTCTGTGTTTAGCATCAGATAGTTTCAACTTTCTGCCAGGCATAGTAGCACACACCTGAAATCCCAGCACTTGGGAGGTGGAAGCAGGTGGATCAAGAGTTCAAGGCCAGCCTCAGCTACATAGGGAGTTTAAAGCCAACCTGGGCTATAGGAGACCCTGTCTCCAAAAAAAAATTACACTTTTTGGCAATTTATAGTAATCTTTCTTGGGAAGCGACCTTATTCTTCAAAACCTGTGTTGCCTTTCAGCTGAACACCTGCTAATTATCCTTAGGAATTCCACCTGTCACCTGTGGTTGAATGCCTATAGTGCACACGATTAGAGTATCTGTTACAGATTCCACGTAAAACAAAAGAAAGCTGTGTGTATTATTATATTAATTTCCCTGCTCAATTCCCTCAGACTTTCTCATTTTCCCACAGCTTCTTTTTAAGCCTCTAAATGTCTGGGATTATTCACAAGTCCTTTTTTTAACACCTATTAGAAGGATAAGTATTTAGAAGTATTTTAACACTTATTAGAAGGATAAGTATTTAGGAGTATAGTTAGAAATTATATTGGTTTAGAAAATGGCAGTGGTAGAGTCTCCTCTAAGGTCTTTGACCTCTCCAGCCACAGGTATTTGCCTAGGTTTACAGTACCAGCATGAGTTCCCTCCTATTGAGTGGACCTTAAGTCCGACTAGACTGCTGTTGATTACCCCCCAAAACTAGTGCTTTTACTGAACCATTGGGAATATCTTGCCAAGTGGGTCGTGGTTGTGGTTTATAAGTTTTACAGCTGACAGGACTATCAATTGCTTTTCTCCCTTGGCAGTTTGCATGACAACTTCCAATACTGTGAGAGTTAGTCCCCAGAGAGGAAGCATCCAGGTCAGTTTTAGTTTCATTCTCCAAGTCCTGTGTCCAAAGCTTGTGGTGTCTTGAGAACAGGGTCTTACCTTCTGGGAGGCAATCAATTGCACGTCTTTCTTAAAGATCTGCTGATGAGCACATATTCAAATTGTACAACCCCTTCAAGGTCTGCTATAGGCAGTATTGATTAAATAGTGTGAGTCATGAGTTAGGATGGGTTAAAAGCCTATTGGTGTTCAGAACATCCGAAGACTATAAATGGTTATTCAGGTGAGAAGAGACAGTGCGAAATAGAGATCCAGCCTGTTGTCACTCTCAGAAAATTCCACATACATCAACAGTGAAAATACCATATTCACCAGTGTGTTCTTCATCTGTGAACCCTTCCCTCTGCTCTCACTTGCTAAGTCCTTTTGAAGTCTCCCCAGATGTGTTTAACTTCATAACAACAGCCAAAAGTAACTGAATTATGCCTCACACACACACACTTCTAAGGCTCTAGCCAAATTCTTCTGGAAATGGGAGATTTCTTGAAGCTGTAAGTTCCTGTTGATTTTCTACCACCCTCCTGATGCCTCTAGAAGTCTGACTGGGAATCAAGAGGTTCTTTGTCAGATAGCGTTGTTCAGTCTTTTTCCCAGGGTGTGGCAGAATCTGCACCTGGCACCAGATTCTTATGAAGAATCTGGTGCGGCCCTGTCAGGTTGATTTCTGTGAAGATTTCTGAACTTAATGATCTCAGAGTGTGCTTCTTTTTGGAAGTGTCAGCTAATGTGAACTAGCTTTATCTAAATTCACTGCCAATACTTACTTCCTTTTTCCCCACAAAAGCCCCCTGCATGCTGTATTCAAGCATTGATGTGCCTGCTCTAACTCCTAAACAGCTAGCGTTATAAGCACAGGGCAACATCTAGTTAATGCTTAAGTTTACTTATGGTCAGTGCATGCTGTATTTGGCGTTGGCTACACACCTAAAGAGCTTTTTAGATTTTATGGTGGTGGTTGTTTAGCTCATGAGTAAGTAGCACTTAGGAACCTGGGGACTTTCAGAGTTTTTAGGTTTTCTTTAAGCCACAGTCCGTGCTTCTGTAACTGCCTCATCTCCTTTTTTCGGAATGAATTCAGGTATGGCTCTGGGCTAAGTTTCTGACACTATCATAGCCATAAAGAACTTATGAAGAATCTATCTTAATTTCTCAAAGTCATTGGGATTTTGAGCCTTACCTTATATGAATAAAAGATAAAAAATTCAAATAGGTGCATGATGCTCTATGTGTGGTTCTCCCTCCCTCCCAGTGTGTGTGTGTGTGTGTGTGTGTGTGTGTGTGTGTGTGTGTGTATCTCTGTCTGTGTGTTAATTGAGTAATCTTTTTCACTGATGCTCTAAACGTTGCTCAGTGCTTTTACCGTTCCATGCCCACACAGTAGCTTGTCCCATGATGTGACGGTTAAATTGCCAGTGAAGCCTTAATGAAGAAGTTTATAAGTGAACTTTAGCCTTGCCATTGGCACAGCAGTTGAAAATGTAGGAAAGTCCTCTCTATGTGCCTGCATCCCATCATCATTCAGCTGTGCCCTGTTCCACAGCTTTCAGATCCTGGAACACTCTGGAATGAGCAGAATCTAAATAAGACAATGAAAGTGCCCATATGTCATGAAGATGGACGGACACTTGCAGCAAAATGCATTATACAAACTATGTGGTAGAATTTTGCATTACACTGAATGTTGACTCAATAATGAATGAAGCTAGAAGAAAAACTATACATATGTCCTCAGTGACTCAGGTTTCTCTACAGTTGCTGAATAGTAACAGCTTAATATTCCAACACTGAATATATTCAGAGTCACTCTCTCCCATACATCCACTTCTGCCTAATTCCGCTTACAGTCTGTTTGGATGGGAATGGATTTTTTGTTCACTCTCAGTCTGAAAATATGTTGGCAGTTTCCTGATTCTACCAGAGCTGTCAGCCACCTACCATCACCTTCTGCTTTCTTAAAGCCCTTAAGCAATTGGCTGTTACCACACAAAGCATAGCGCTCCTGAAATTAAGTTGCAACCACAAGAACTAAATAAAAGAATGATCTGTGGCTCTGTGGATATTTCTTTAGGCTCCCACATTCCTAAATGGTATAACTACATCCAACACTAGTGCTTTTCAAAGGATGAGGGAGAATGTGTATTTCTTCTAAAGCTGAAAAATAGAAAACAAAGAGGAGGCTGGGATGGGAGGAGAAATAGGAAAGGAACTGTTGCATAAGTTGGCTTTACTTAGAAGTAGGAAGAAATGAAAATGACCAGAAAAGCAGAAATGTCATGTGCCATTGTGGATGCTTCCTTGTAAGTCCTGAGCTGTCCCCAGCTCTTCATCCACAACTCTGGACCTGCCCATCTCCTCTCCATCCACAAGCCCCACTTCCCACCCAAGATTTCATGGGCCCAAGTCAAATTTTCTTTTTAAAAGCAGTTTTAGAATACTATATTCTCTTCTTTTTCTGACACATAATGTGCATGTGTGTGTGTGTGTGTGTGTGTGTGTGTGTGTGTGTGTGCGTGTGTGTGTGTGTGCGTGTGCGTACCACTGGGAGTTTATGGAGATCAGAGGACAATTTTTAGGAGTCGGTATTTTTCTCCTTCCACTTTGGTTTCCAGGGATTGAACTCAGGTTTTCAGGCCTCACAGCAAGAGCTTTTACCTGCTGAACCATCTTCTGGCCCTCATAGAAATATTTCCAGTCAAGTGTATCATACTCTGACCATGCATGCTCTCTCTTCTCTACCCTTCCACTCCTCCCTCCTCTGGGAGTCCTCTTCTCAGATAATCTTGTTTCTACTTTCATACCATATATAAATATATATATAATATAAAATAATATATGTAATCTGAAATCTTCATAATCGAACCACTAAGTGAAATTGTGAGGGTAATATGAAGACATATTTTGTTACAATTCATAGGCATTCATTGACCACACACTATGGTTCCACTGTCTGTGTTTAGCTCTGAGGGGACATGAGAGCCCGGCAAGGAGTGTGATATCATCAGTCATACCATGTGAGGAATGCTCAATTGCTAAGTGCTATAAAAGCAAGGAAAAGTAATACTTCATTCAAGGAAAAGTAGTACATTCTTCCCAGGAGCTGAGACATCCACACAGTCACACGTTTAAGTAAAAATAGATACTTTGGCAACAGATTATTTACCATAGACATTTGTTTTCTGAACACTTTCATTAAAATATTTAAAGACCTTTGATACTATCATACCATTTACAAGCTCATTTATTTAGAGGCATCTCACTTGTACAAGACAGTAAAATTCAATAGCTACTATTGTAGCACTAGGAAGCTTAGGTTAATTTTTTTTTACTTATTGCATGAAAACAATTACCTTAAATACTCCTAAACAAATATAATTATCCTACACATGCATTAATGATTCCTGTGTTTGAGTTTATAGGTTCTTAAGGGATTAAGAAAGATACATATAATAAGTCCATTTCTTCAAAATGGATTAAAACTAAGCTCAAAAACATAAGTACATTGGAGAATTGCATGAGCTACACACTGATTCACAGCGGCACAATTCACATTGTCTATGGAAATGTCAGAAAAGGTTATTTTGTTTTGTTTTATAATTAAGAATGCAACTTTCTTGGTATTAGTAACCCCAGTTCTTCTTTCTTGCCTTAGAATCTGGAAAACCACAAAGTAGATGTTGCCATTACTTATAAGCTATTTTAGCAATGTAATCACCAGGAGTTAAAAATTCTATTTCTAAAACTCAATTTTGGGCAAATGTGAAATATAAAATGTTGGTGTGTTCTTGCAATCTAGTAGAGGTTCTTAAAATGAATCTGAAATTTTTATCTTTTTAAAGAGTATTAATTTAACAAATCTGAGATGTTTAATAAAAATTAAAGAAAGTTGAGTTGCCTAATGTAATTGCTTAAAATTCTTTTAAAGTTTAATCATTATATTCATAAATTCTTTTGCCTAGTAAATGTTTCTTTTTTCAATTCTCAGGAGTAAAAATGGCTTAAAGAAGAGGAAACTGACCAAGTAAGTTTATCTTACTATTTCATTTGAAGTTTTTCATCACAGTGATTTTAACTTTCCAAATTAAAAAGTATAGAGTTTCCTCTCTGTAGCTGTGATAAAAACATTCTGACCAAAAGCAGCTTAAGGGAGGGAATGGTTTATTTCATCTGACAGGTCACAGTCCATCACTGAGGGAAGTTAAGGAAGGAACTCAAACAGAGCTTGAAGCAGAAAACATCAACGAATGCTGCTTGCTGGCTAGCTCTAGTTCGTGGCTAGCTAGCTTCCTGGTATAGACCAGGACTACCTGCCCAGGGAATGGTGCCACCCACAGTGGGCTGGGCCTTCCCGTGTCAATTAACCATCAAGACATTCCTCCACAGACATGCTGGCAAGCCAGACTGATCTGGAAAATCCCTCAGTTGAGACTCCTTTCTCAGATTACTCTAGGTTGTGTAACATTGACAGTTAAAGCTAACTTAGACAAAAAGATTGCTTCCTTTCAAATAAAAAGTATACTTATGAAATGAGTATGTTGTGATAGTAAAGCTTGACATGTGCTGATGTTTACACATATGGACAGAGAGAGGAAGCATGTGACAGAGCCACGCCAGGAAAAGGACCAGGTCTTACCATTGAAATCTTAGAAATAATAGATGTGGTAGAATCATAGAAATCTTTCAAGAGGATGTGTGGCATTTCGAATATATGAAAATCCAATATTTGGCTACATCTACAATGTACAAAAACCTCTGACCATTTTAGATTTTTGAAATCCTATGTTGATTTCAAGGAAGGCTGTTACTCTGCTTGATGCTGAAATTGATACTTTGATAATTACAGCTCAGAAAACCTTCATAGTAACTAGAAAAGATAATTAGCTTGCCTGTGTCTTACTTATCTATTGAACTGTTGTCATAAGGAGTACAGTTCTGAGGAGTGAAAATTAGCCATCCATTGATTGAGAGATTGTCACCTTCAGGCCTTTTATAAGTTAAATTCTGTAGCATACATAAAGACTAAGGCATTTTTACAGAGTTAAATCTTGGTACTTACCAAGGACAGAACATTGATGCATTAGCAGAAGAAGGTAAGTTGCTTCTGGTGACACTCTTGCTAATGAGGAAAAAAAGTAGTATTCCATCGAATATTCCAAAAGAAAAGATAACATAAAATATTTTTATTTAGCTTTGAATGACTTATAATTTTGGGACACAGTGAGATAATTTTTCCTAGGTCTGTCTGAATCAGTATATACCAAGTGGCATAGGAAAGAGGAGAACAGCCCAGAAAAGACACTGTCCTTTCAGAAAGAATGTTGTCACGGCAACAGAAAGATGTCTTTGTTTCCCAAAGCTACCAGTGGATTGTTAAGTGGGCTACAGAGGTACTCACTGGAGTGTTCAGGAAAGGGTCTTAGAACAAAAAGGGAATGCTCAGAGATTTCTCCTTCCAAGTCCCAGGCAGAAACAAGAAGTAAGATCTGGATAAGAGATTTTTGGTAGAGGGACTGAGAGGTGGCTCAGTGGTTAAGAGCACCGAGTGCTCTTTCAGAGGACCAGGGCACAATTCCTAGCACCCACATGGTGATTAACAACTGTCCATAACTCCAGCTCTAGGGGATCAATCGCCCTTTTCCGTCCTCTGTGGGCACTATAGGACATGAGTACAGTTACATACATGCAGGCAAAACACACATAAAAAATTCAATTTAAAAACGAGGGAGAGGTTTAGTAGAGTTTCCAGGTGTGGGGTTACATGCCTATTATCCCGACACCTGGAAGGCAGAAGCAGGAATACTAAGGTTTGAGGCTAGCCTGGGCTATAGCAGTGAGCCCATCTCTGAAAATACAGTTTAGGAATGTCGGAGCCTCCTGTCAAAACCTTATGTCCAACCAGCTCCTTCCTGTCTTCTATTGTCCCCAGTTTCCTTCTGTCCTTCTCCATAGGCCATTTCTCTGGCGGCGTCCCCCTGTCGCTGCCACTTTTTTTGCTCTGTCTGTGGCCCATCCCCACCATGTCTTCTTTGCTCCCTGTTTTCAATCTCTGCTTGTTTTCATGCCACTATCCTTTCCTTCTCCGTCTCTTCTGCCCAGTCCTTCCAAATGTTCCTGCTGTTCGCTACTCCGTCCAAGCTTTCTCTCTCTGCTCTTCTCTCTAAGTTCCCATGTGTTTGGTCTGCGTCTCTCCTTTCCTTCTTATGAGGTTCTTCATCTCCTGTGTTTGACTTTTTCTCACCCACAAACGTATCCTCTGCCTTCTCTATGTGTGCTCCTGTTTTCCTAATAAGGGGCAGCTTAGAAGGGTTAAGTCTGACCTTCAGATCAATGCCTTCACTTGGTGACAGCAGCCAGAGAGAGCAATTCTAATGCAGTGCATTCAAATGGAAGCTCCATCTGCAGCTGGTCCTTTGGAAGGATACGGTGTTTAAAATGGGAAACCCTTTGTACAGGGCTCACTCTGCCTGGGCTCCTGTCAGGCTTTTGCCACTGAGTGGCCCCATAATGGACCCCCACTTACTTCCCTTTATCTTGACTGTCTTTATGTTTGTTTATTTGTGCTCTCCTGGTGATTGAAGCTGTAATTTTACGCATCCCAGGCAGGCACTCTACCACTAACCTGTATCCCTAGCCCATCCTTGGCTCTATCATGAATCAACTGAGCAAGACAACATGTTTGTGAACTGCCATATGTTTTATAAGCACAAATTGTTGTTGCTATCATTTCTGAGTAAAAAACATTCAACTTTAGATGTAATGCCTGGGAAGTCCTTTACAGTCTACTAAAATCTTAACACAAATGAATGTCACAAACTAATCTATCAGATTGGCTAATCAACAGCTTTAAACAAGTGTCTGATACATACCGTGTATTTGCTAGCAAGTTACATGACTACAAGCAAAGGGGAAAACTGGGTAGCCTGTCCCAAGACCAGGGAATAGTTTAGCTATTGGACCTTGTCCAAGTGGAAAGGATGGGGTCAGAGGACAGACTACAGCTTCCTGCAGAATAGGGAACAGGTTAGTGAGCTCGGTGCTAGAAGAGACAATCCAACTACAGAGACATGCAGAAGAAAAAGAAAGTTAAATCCTGTTCATGAAATAGAAAAGGTGAAAGACACTCTACCAGAGATACAGAAACATGCTTGGATATGCCACTCAGTTCCATCCCCGGGCCATTTCGGTGCTTTCACGGATTTATCAGACTCTAGCAATGGTTCCCTCAGGTGAGACTCTGGGCACTTTCTAGACAAATGCTTCATTCCACTGACCTGGGCTCTGCTCTGGGGGTATTGTAGCTAGATGCCAGATTCCTCATATTGTTTAACTTTACCATGCTTCTTTGTATACTATATGCTGACCTCAGAAGCTGAGTTCGACAATATTTTATCAGTGACTATCGTGAATTTCTGAGGAGTTGAATAACTAATAAAGTCAGCAAACCACAACTCAAACAGGTCTTTGGAATTTAATCCTTTGTTCTTTCTCATGTGCCTGGACTCTCTAGAAACACATACACACAACACACAAATATATACATGCACACATACATATATATGTCAATATGTACAGAATTTATGTAATGTTTTTGCTAAAGTTAAGTGTGAAGTATAAAATCTAGATATGTCTCCTAGCTCTAGGAAATTTGGTATGTATGT